AAAAAAAAAAAAAAAAAGGTACCTCTGACTCTGATCTTTACTGCAACAAAATCACAAAAAGTTTATGGTGATAAATGAATAAACTAACACACCCCCAGAAGAGTGTTCTGCGACCAGGACAACCCAGTGGTTTTGATTTTACTCTATAGATTTGACTAAATGAATTGTCATTGCAACTTCTACAATCCTTTTCTGTTTTCTGCTATTTGGGGATCAATTATACTTTGCAGTAGCAGATTTATTCCTCCAGAAAATTTTGAATAATTCCATGTGATTTTAACATACTTTGACAAAGAATGAACACTCGTCTTCTATTATTGGGTTGCAAAACAAATTTTGGTTAAAACCTGTTCAGTTTCAGTTTCAGTTTATTTTATTTATAAAAAGGACAGTACACATTAATCAACATTACTGTAAATGTTTTAGCCAGCCGGCTAATTTGCAACTGTAGTCCTCAGGCAAGATGTTATGAAACCATAATCTAAAACAGAAGCATTAAGAGTAAGATACAGTATTTACAATATATACAGAACAGGACAACATAATAATACATAATAGCAATGCAAACAGCATAAAACAGCAGCATGCAGTCTAATAGCAATCAAGCCATATAGTCATCCATGCAAAGCAGCGATAGACAGGCAGAGCAGCAGAACTTGAACAGCATAATGATGGACATGCAAAAAGCACAGAGCAGCAACATACAGTCCAATGGTAATCAAGCAATATAGTCAGCTATGCAGAGCATCAGAACTTGAGCAAAATAAAATACAAACTAGGTATTAATCAGACTATTGGGTGTTAGTACATACCAAGCCATGCAAAGCTGGGGGCCTGACAATGGACAGAGACATTTAGCAGGTTAGCAGCAAGTTGATGAACAATGGTAAAATACATCATAAACTAGTTAGGAGTGATCATATTTTTGTTTTTTTAAAAGCCAGGTTAAAGGGATAGTGCACCCAAAAATTAAAATTCAGCCATTATCTACTCACCCATATGCCGAGGGAGGCCCTGGTGAAGTTTTAGAGTCCTCACATCCCTTGCGGAGATCGGCGGGCGGAGCAGCTAGCACACCCAATGGCAGACGGCGTCTCAGACTAACGTCCAAGAACACAAAATTGAATTCACAAAGTATCTCCATACTGCTCATCCATAGTGATCCAAGTGTGCTGCAGCCGTGACATAAAAAGTTGTTTCGAAAAACGTCATTTGAACTCTGTTTTTAGCCTCACTGTAGCCTGTAGCTCTGACTGCTTCTCTGTGCTCCGCATTCACGTGTGCACGCCTGCGCAAGACCAACGAAAGCATGAGCTTTGCTCACCCGTGTTTACATCACGTGACACGTGCACCGCAGGGGGAGACAACGGTAACCACAGTCGCTAAAAGATAATTTGCACTACGGTCTTTTAGCAAAGGACAGCCCAACATGTCTGAAAACTTTGATATTGAGGAGGAACAGCATTTCTTTGTTGAGCCGTATTTTTTGAGCCCGAGTATACGGACGGAACTCAGGCTGCTGGACGAAGCAGCTGCCGCAGTTCATGAGCCTAACCCTCAGCCAGCCGCAGAATACCGGAGTTGAGCACTGGAAACCTGGTGGTGTAGTTGTTTCAAATGCAAAGCAATGCCAACGGGTGAGGAAAGTCTTTGCTGCTGAGACTGGGAATTGGCGATGCCTGCACTTGAGAATCTGGACATCAGTACTGACGAGACTGCTGCTCTTCAGAGACCGTGCATCACCGATCACCCTGAGCGCGCACACATGAACGCGGAGCACAGAGAAGCAGTCAGAGCTACAGGCTACAGTGAGGCTAAAAACAGAGTTCATATGACGTTTTTCGAAACAACTTTTTATGTCGCGGCTGCAGCACGCTTGGATCACTACGGATGAGCAGTATGGAGATACTTTGTGGATTCAATTTTTATGTTAGTCTGGGGCGCCGTCTGCCATTAGATGTGCTGCCTGTTCCCCCCGTCGATCTCCGCAAGGGATGTGAGGACTCTAAAACTTCACCAGGGCCTCCGTCGGCATATAGGTGAGTAGATAATGGCTGAATTTTCATTTTTGGGTGCACTATCCCTTTAAACCCCAACTGGGGGACTTTGAGAACGACTTTGCAAACAGTGTGAAACAATGCACTAATCACTAAGAATATGCTGCACATCAAATTAAACAGCAGAACCTGGGCTACAAGGCTGTATAAACCCTTTTTACATGCCCCAAACACAGCTCAAACAACGACTAAATAGATAACAACAAATCAAACTCCATACCCGCTCTTCATATTATGGGCTCTACCGTGACGCCACGTTATGCAAAACACACACCATTCATGTCAAATGAAAGCAGAGACACTGCTCTTTCCACACATATGTGCCAGAGCACTGTACACCAAAGCATCAGAGAGATAGAGGCCAAAGAACAACAACAGAAATCGTTTCGCCGAGCCATAGTTGTAAAATTTCTCTTACCGTTGTTGTTTTGCCGTGAAACGTTAATTTGGCCACACGGTACGTTCCGGTAGACTGACATGTTGTGCTGCATTCAAATGAATCTGGGTGAACATGATGGGCTTTAGGACCGGGGGGGGGGGGGCATAACAATGACCGCATTCAGCAGCCGGCACCTCCCCCACAATGGCGTTCTGCTGACTCTAATTGGCTTACAGTGCTGTCAATCTGGTGTTGGTGGGTATAGCGTCATTCTACTGGCTCTAACGAATCGAATGAAGTGTCAGTCACTTAAATCGACCGATCCGTTGCGGAGATGCCAGCCTCCAAAGCACAGAAGAGTAAATTTGCTTAAAACATGATGGTCTTAAATACTTGATTCTGACTGGTCAATCATCACAATTCTGCTGCTCCATTGCTAGGGACGCCATAGCAACGGCCTTAGACTGAGGAGCATCAAAATCAGTTAACGTTAGTCCACACAGGCCAAATAGGATCGGAGTGGCAAAACGCAGCATTTTCAGGACATCACTTTTAACATTTTTGTAGAGGACAAAATTTTTGATGTTTGGCTAAAAAATGACATCCCCAGCAAAAAAAAAAAAAAAAAATAAAGGAAGAGAAACTCGCAGGGCCGTCAGGAGCAAACTGGCACAAACAACTAGAAGAAGTAAGTAATAAGCCATGTTCTGAGCTGCGCATTGGGGTTCCATTCCCCTGTCTGAGTTATTTTTCAACTGTCACCGGCTCACTATACATTATCCCTTACTTCACATTTAGATGTGTGTGTGTGGTCAGTTTGGAGTGGGAAATACATGGAAAAAACGAAACGGACAGTTGTATGTGTATATACTAAACATCATTAGGGATTTACAGAAACAAAAAATCAAACATGGTCATGTACATATGCCATGTAAGCTGGTGTGACAGTGAGTGTGTTGTGTGCTGCTGTGCTGTATGCATTGCTGTCTGTTGTGCTCCCGTGCTGTGCCGTGGACTTTAAGTTGGAAATGAGGTGCTTTATTAGTAAAAAATAAAAAAACAACAACAAAAAAACTGAGGCTTAAAAGATCCAGGGCTATAGGCGGGAATGCCCAGGCCTAACGACGTCCATGCTTTCTGCTGCCTCAAAATAGCAATATGCCAACAGTGTGCTTGACCACACCTCCAAGACTTACGTGCCCATTGGCACACTGAGTACATTTGCTATTTACACAGTGTGGGAGCTGGTTGTGAAAATAAAAACTGCGTCCTTCTGAAAAACGCAATGACAGTTACACTGTGCTGTGCACCGCTTTGGTTCATGTCTAAGAATTGGCCCCTCAGCTCTAATGCTAAGTAACTGTTAATGCTGTTCTAACTGGATTGTTGAATTTCAAGTTAATTTTGTCAAACATCATTCATTGTTGAAAATGAAATGGAGGTTTGTATGGTTTACCTTTGGTAATTGTCAGTCAAATTGTTGATACATCAACATGATAACTTGTAGATGTGTTGTGTCTTGATCTCTCCATCAGATGCCTGTGAACTGGAACTGGACACAAACACAGTAAACGGAAAACTCAAACTCTCTGACAGCAACATGAAGGTGACAAATCTGAAAGGGAATCAGTCATATCCTGATCATCCAGACAGATTTGACCACTGGCCTCAGCTGCTGTGTAGAAATGGTCTGACTGGTCGATGTTACTGGGAGGTTGAGTGGAGAGGAGGGGTTTCTGTATCAGTGACTTACAGAGGAATCAGAAGGAGAGGAAACAGTGTTGACTGTGTTTTGGGAGGGAATGGTCATTCCTGGAGTCTGTACTGCTCTGGTGATGGGGACTTTGTCTGTCACAATAACAAAAGAATTCCCATCTCCTCCTCTCCTTTCTCTGTCTCTTATAGAGTAGCAGTGTATGTTAACTATCCTGCTGGCACTGTGTCCTTCTACAGAGTCTCCTCAGACACACTCATCCACCTTCATACCTTCAACAGCACATTCACTGAACCTCTTTATCCAGGGTTTACAGTCTGGTCACCTGGTTCATCAGTTTCTCTGTGTTCTCTGGTCTGAGAGTCTCTCCAGTGTACAGAAACACTGCTGACTGAAGATCAGCTCCTGAGCTTCCATCACACACATTAATGTTTAAATGGGATCTATTATGCTTTTTCATATTTTGTGTCATACATCGTTACAATGAAGGATGTTCATATCAAATGTGGTCACAGTTTAAAATAATGAGGCAACATTTGTTAAAGTAATCCCTGTGAGCCAAAACCTCAGGCTTCAGACCGTTTTATATACAGTACTCCGTTTCCAACTGCTTTTCTTTTACTAAGGCTAGAGTATAACATCATAGGCTATGCCTGGTTCACACTACACCACATTTCTGTCCGTCCGGGAGAAGGAACGATAAAAAGAAAACAAGCTAGACTTTCTGTCAGAACGTCGAGAGGTGTCTTAGTTGTGGCGTCGGTTGTCATCTATTATGACACACTACAGGAGATGAAACGATGGATTATCGTGTGCAACACTCATTGTCGTTCACAATCCGACACTGTATGTTCCTGCGTCTTTCTATAATTGAGCTGATATCGTGTAGTGTGAACCAGGCATTAGTGTGATGTCTTTATATTGTCATCTTTTCCAGGCATGTTGCTGCAGGTGTTTACATAATGTAGCCTACACTGTTAAATGAAGCTATATGCTAACGTTACGGGAACATGTTGTGAATTTCTCTCCAATTTCGGATCATAGTCCAGTTAGGACATGTCTGGTTGTGTTTAGAGGCTTTTATTGGTGATTTTTTACTGTAAAAAGAGACGCTATTTTCCGTCACAGTCATAAGAAACACCAAGAAACACTGACCAATCAGAACAAACTGTTCTTTTTTAGGAGGGGGGCTTAAAGAGACAGGAGCTAAAACAAAGTGTTTCCAACAGAGGGAGAATATAGGAGTTCCAGCAAAGATAGCATGAGAAAAATGAAGTGTTTTATTAGATTAAAGCATGTAAACATGTTGTAGTAGAAAGCTTAAAAACAAGAATGACCCTGAAAATGACAGGGTCATGAAGCCCCTGCAGTGTAGAAGACCCAGCAGGTGTGGGGCTCCTAGAGATTTGGGGCCCTTGGAGTTATTGTCCCCTGTAGGTATTTGGCTCAGGCTGTAATTCTGGGTGTCCTGCTGATTTGTCGGCCATGTAGGCGTGTTCTCACGGCAGTTGGTAGTCCAACTTCTATTGTTGTATCCTCTCACAGTATGATTACAGCAGGTGCGTACTAATGCATTACAAATATTAAACATAAGTAAAAAGTAGCTTTTTTTAAGTAACAAGTACTTTTCATGTTTATTTTTTTATTTTAAAATTTACTTCTACTCTTTACTCAAGTCAGGAGATGCCATCAAAGTTAGTCTTTTGTTATTGTTTTTATTACAATGTCTCTTTCTAGTAATTACACATCTCTTTGTGGTTTTGTGTCTCTTTGTAGGCATTGTAAATCTCTTTTAGTTGCTCTGTGTCTCTCTGCAGTCATTCTGTGTCCAGTAGTGATTCTTTAGCTCCTTTTTGTAGACTTTGTGTCACTTTGCAGTTGTTGTGCATCTTTTTGTGGTCTTTCTGAGTCTGTTTGTGATCATTTTCAGTCTCTTTCATGTCTGTACATGTCTTTTCGAGTGACATTTTGCAGGTGAAGGCCTGGGGGGGGCCTGATACTTTGGGCCCCTGATCTAAACTGCAGTGTACATCTGTTAAAACAATAGGAGTGCTGCCTTCTTTTGGTAGAAATATATAAAAACACATATTTTTATTTTTTTGTAGATTTTTATTGAACAAATGTCCCACTTCATTGTAGAAATTAATATAAATCACAATTGGATACATTTCCAGTACAATCAAAGGACAGAAACCCCCAAATTAAAAAAACACACAAAAAAATAGAAGACATTTGGCCATAGAAGTCCTGATAATGTTATTATTTATTATTGCAGAATATTTCAGAGATTTTTTTCTTTTCTTTTTTTTCTTTTCTTTTTTTTTTTTTTACAATTGTGAGCTAGCTGTACTTTGGGTATTCCTATTTTATGATATTTTATATTTAAACTCTATTGCCACTTTCCATCATAAACATACAACCACTATCTTAAATCTGATGTCTTGTCAGAGATTAACGGGACATTCATGCATACTTTTACTTTTGGTTTTAAGTTCATTTAGTCAATAAAACTTATGTATCTTACCTCACATAACCATGAATATAGAACCTTTACTCTTAATGAAGCATTTTGAGCACATTTTAAGACTTTCTTTGCAAGCAAAACAATAGCACTGGTTTGTTCTTACGCCTGTAAGGTTTGCCTTTCTCAGACAAGAACTTCCTGTGGCTGGGCTAAAAATGACTAATAACAATGACTTTCTGTTGCTTTGAAGTAATGTTCTTGCAGTACAACAGATCAAGGCCTTCAGCTGAATCATATGAAGCAGAGAGTTGAAGTATCTGCCGGAGGCCGACTCTTTCTTCTGTCATTAACGTGCTGGTTAGGAAGAAAAAAAATCCAATTCTGATTTATCAAACAGTCTTAAAAATATATGATATGTCAACACTGTTTTGCTGCTATAACATGGCAAACCAATCAGTAATGAGATGTATTTGCTGTGTTTTAGTTGTACAGTTTTAGAGATAGTGTTAATTTCTACTTACGGCAACTGTAAAGCGCGTTGACGCGGGCAATGTCATTGGCGCTCATCTGTGTGGCACGCCCAAAGTTAAGTTTAGGGTTGCCCTTAGAGACGATGGTTGGCTTCCCGTTTTTGGAGAAGGCGTATCTTGAGGACACAAACACAACACTGTTGGTATACAGAGCTGCACACGCACACACACACATTTTGAGGTCACTGTATTTACGTTTTGTATTTCCATTTTATGCTACTTAATACTTTTTCTCCACTACATTTTAGAGGCAAATATTTAAGTATTTACTCCACTTTTTTGACAGCATTGCTACTTTTTGCTTGTTACTTTTCAGATTTAGATTATTAATACAAAATGTAAATCAGCTCATAAATTATGAATTATCATGGATGAAACTACCCAAAGGAATATAAAATAAATTTAGTTCCACCAGTTGCAACATGTAGGTGATGAACACATTAAAGCATCGATAATTATAATCCAATAATGTAAGATATTTTGTTTTAAAATGGGCCATTCTGCACAATTACCTTTTCTTTCAGTATTTTCAGTATATTTTGATGCTAATAATTTTTGTACTTTTATTCCAGCACAAAATGGGAAACAAACAAAGGGGTTTGGACCAGCCACACAGCACCAGTCAGCAACAAGGAACCATTCGTGCTCATGCATAGAAACTAGGCATGGCCAGCCAGTTCTCATTCCCACCTTGTTAAATATCACTGCTTTTTCACTTATTTCAGTGTCAGACATCGCTGCGAAAAGGCACCTTTCATCAATATGATACAGCAGATATGGGTGGCATCAGGTTGTAACACAGCTGGCAACTACGTAATATAAAGAGCTGTAAAGTCCCTATATAGGGCGAACGGGAGAGGAGGTGGATGGGTCTAACAAATCGCGGACTTTCAGCTTGGAGCTCGCTGTTTGCTTTCCATGTGAATGTTGAGCCAAACCATGATGTTTTTTCAAAACTTAACCACGTGCTTTTGTTGCACAAGGAAATGAATGTTAAAATGAGGTGTTTTAAGTCTATTTTGAAAAAGACTATACGCATTTTACATGCGAAAATTGACACACAGTCCCAAAACATCAACAACAGGTTACGTAGCGCATCATACAGTATTTAGACTTGAAAGTCTACTGACAAAGCGGTGATATTTGAGGAGTTGGGATGAGAACGCATTGGAATGGCAATGAATGTAAGAAGAGAAGGCAGTGGGAGAGAGAGGGAGAGAGTTTAGAATCACTGACTGTGTTCACTCATGAACACTCACTTGCTGTATTGCATGACAGAGTTGAAGTCGTAGGGAGTACCCAAGTTGTTAGTGTCCTCCTGATCAAAGTTGTGTTCCCTTCCTGTACAGGAGAAGACAACAGATTAAATTATTAAGCACACTTTTCACTTTCTTTGTTTTCTGTTACAGTGGATTGAAATTGTTTGCCTGTGGATGCACCTGTTTTCTGCTTCTTCTTAGTGTTGTGATCACTTTATTTCTGGTGTTGACTGCCACAACCACAAACATTATCCCTGCACCATGTAATCTGTAGTGTTTCATTAACTCACTACCAGTCAGTGTTTGGAGAATATTTCTCCTACCTCTGTGTCTATCTGCCATTTTTCCTCTGCATCAGAAACTCATAAACCTCCTAAAAGTCCTCCTCCCTACTCCTAACAGTGTTTCACCTTAGGGGCTCTCTTTAGGGCTAAAATACTTTGAGAATCATTCCTTACCAGGACCTAGTTTGAACTATAAGAGGAAATTCTTGGAAAATGTCAGAAGAGTTTTCTTACAATTTAGACACTAGGAGCAACTCTTTGTACCAGGAAGCTTTGTAAGTACAGTCCCTAGGCTTTATCCACAGTGGTTGTGAAGTCACATTACTGGCATTAACTGAATAAGAGTGAATTTATAATTCTGTGACTGCGAATGCAAAACAATATGTTATGTAGGATGTAAGATGCAGCCTTGCCTCCAGTGGCCACAAGAGGCTGTGTTTGACCGCAGGAGGACCAAGAAACTTTTTTTCTCAGGAACAATGAACAAAATAACGAGAGGAACCTGGTTCCAGTTTTCTTGGCTAGAAGTCCTGCTGCCCAAAATGTATCTGCAAAAATGTGATACTTTCCAATGGCCCAAACATTCATTCAGACTGTAAAAACTTAGCATTTTATGGCTAGATTTTATCTAAGCTTTAAACTCATCCCTCCATTGTTCTTATCATTTTATAACCACGACATAAAACATATTTTGTGGCTGAGCTGACCTGGCAGAATGTTCTGGGTGAGGATGGCGACGTATTGGTCTCTGTCGGAGCGGACGTGCTCGTGGTGGAAGCCCAGAGCATGAAGAACCTCGTGCTGCACTATGTCTGTGTACAAACAACCGTTTTTCCTCAGGGAGACCAGCTGTCCTCGTTGTTGACGGCCCAGGTAGGACCAACACCTGGTACATACAATCACACACGCACACGCACACACACAGACACACACACACACAGTGAAATCATAGCACAAATGTACTTACATTTGTATTTTTCTGTTATTGCACTACATGTTTGTCATTGCACTATGTTTGTGCCTTGTCTTGTAGCTTATTTTGTACCTGTTTCACTTTACATTCATTTGTTCATTATTTTGTTTAGCACTAAGACAAGGGAAACCATTTTCTTCCTCTATGTACCATACTGCATTGTATAGAGACATGATAATTAAGTATCTCTCATCTCTTGTCTTATGCAAGCTACACTCACAAAAGCAGAATATAGACCAGTCTCAAAAAATTGCATTACATGTTTCTGCAAACCATGGGTGCATTACATTTGTATGTTATTTTGTGGTGGATAAGTTAAAACTTTATGTTTCAATAACCCTGTGGTTAGGGCGGCTGTGGTGGTTAGCACTGTTGCCTCACAGCAAGAGGGTTCTTGGTTCGATCCCGGGTGTGGGAGCCCTTCTGTGCGGAGTTTGCATGTTCTCCCCGTGTCAGCATGGGTCTTCTCTGGGTACTCCGGCTTCCTCCCACAGTCCAAAGACATGTAGGTTGGGGATAGGTTAACTGGTGACCATGAGTATGAATGGTTGTTTGTCTCTACATGTCAGCCCTGTGACCTGTCCAGGGTGTACCCCGCCTCTTGCCCAATGTCAGCTGGGATAGGCTCCAGCCCCCCAGCGACCCTTAAGAGGATAAGCGGTTAGAAAATGGATGGATGGATGGAACCATGTGGTTAACCTGTGATTAGGTTAAGGCACAAAAAAACCCACTTGTTTTTTTTAAAGGGGAACTCTTATTTCATGACTGAAATATACAAACACTGTACAATATGGTTGCTCCAGTCCTAGTCAGTCCTGTTTTCACAATCCCTCCTTCACGTGCATGTGCGGATTATCAACGTTTGAATATAATGTGCAGCCCTACGACATAGGTTATGAACAGATTTTCATGTTCATTTTATTTAAATGCAGATATATTGTAATAAGCCAAGTGAATATGGCTTTAAAAAAGAGTACTGTACTGTTCAAAAAGGAACATGGAAACAGTTTCTCAAGCTGTTCATACATTGAATTGGTGGAGCCTATCGAACCTTGAACCTTTCAATTTGATGTGAATGCTCTGCTGACTAAGCTACACAGGCACTTGTATGTGATGCATGTAACAGTATAATAGCACATCAGTATATTAATGTCTATCCATGCAGTTTGGCCAATAGCTTGATGTTAATGCATGT